GGGGGGGGGGGGGGGGGGGTGGAAGAGTGTCAACGAGGACGTTGGGTCTCAAAGGGGGTGGATTGTGAAGACGCGTCTTCAAGCTTTGAGGGAAAGTCGAAAGAGGACAAAATCTGCTAGCGGTGGATTTGGACTGCTACATTCTTACTCTTCATTTTCACATCTGTTCAGACTAACGGGACTCTATGAGGAGAGTGAAGTCTCGAGAAGGTCACCCAGACTACCGAGACTTTACGAAGAGAGTAAAGACTAGAGAAGGTTTAGAGGAAGATGCTTAACCCTATTCATTCTCTAGTAGTAATAATAAATAAAACTTTAAATGCTACGAATATCATTTAAGAAATAATACAAAGATTATTAGATATATTTCTACAGTATTAGGGGTGAATTAGTAGTTTCGCCTTGGTTCAGTGTACGGTATTCCACAGCCGTCGATTCCTTACGAGATCCCGGCTCTATCTAGGGCTAAAATCGCGAGTACAAAATATTTTTATACTCTCAAGCGCGTCGATTATGCACAGTTTCATGTGTTTTTGTGCAACAATTTTACCCTCGATCAAATCCCAAAAACCGAGTCAAAGAGTTGGCCACAACAAAATCGAAACAGAGAGAGCCCAGTTCCGAGTCCTCTCTCTCTCTCAACGGGATTTTCTCTTTCTAGAAATATTTTTGCAACTTCCGTAGTGGAACAAGAAGGACGATACATAAAATCGTTGAATACAGCTTCAAATTCAATCCTGAAGGTTAGGCTTTCATTTCATCTATCGTAATTTAGGTGTTTTCAACTCTGATTTTTTTTTTTTGTTCTTTCTTTTGGCGGGTGTTCGTCGATATAATACGTACATTTGTTTTGGTTTGATTTTTGTTTTTCGAATTCTGGATTGTGGACTTAGTTTAAATTTTGTTCGTCGTAGGCTTTAAATTTCACTTCTGTGATCTGATTGGTGTGTTTGGCGAAGATCAGTGCTTCTTCCTTTTCCATTTAGGCATTTTTTGGGTGTTTGAGAGCTCTATGGGGTAGGAATAGTAATTTATTGTGTAACTTTTGGCGTGGTATTGAAATTTAAGATAGTTCTTGGTTAGTTCGGGATGTTAATTGGAAATCTATTAGAGATGCCCGCTGCCGTATAATCTTTGGCAATGGAAGCGATTATTGTTCATTTATGATTCATCATATCAAGAATGTGTTGAAGCTCAAGTAAGTTCAGAGTACTGAGTAATATTTTTCTCGTGAGACTACACATTCTAAGTTCTGGCTTACTAGTTATTGCTAGTTTCATGTGTTTCTAGTGAGCTCTGCAATGCACCGAGTGGGTAGTGCGGGGAATACATCCAATTCTTCTCGCCCTCGCAAAGAGAAAAGGTTGACATATGTTTTGAGTGATGCCAATGATAGTAAGGTAATGTTTTCCCCCCTTTTTTTTCTAAAAAATAATTATGTTATTATAATTGTGTTTTATTTTGGTTAAACTGATTGATTTCCTGCTTTTGTCACTGTCATCATAAGGATCATTGTTTGAATAAATGTACTTTTAATTGGACGTATATTCGTGAAGCTGTCGTGTATATTTATTGATTGCCATGCTTTTGTATGCATACACAGTACCAAAATTTGAAAAATATATGCATGAAACTTGTCTTCTTGTGGAGTATCAAGCCTTTATCCATGTTATTTTCTTTATGCTACCTAATAAACATCTTTTGCAATTGACATGAGTCCATGAATAAGCTGAAACTTCTCATGAAATCCTTCTTGTAAATTTGAAAAATATGGCTTGGAAACTGAGGGAAACACGACCTTGTTTTTCAATGCTTTAATTATATCCCACGAAGGCTTCCAATTTTGTATTGTGTCTTCTTCAGAATTTACCTATATATGTGCTAGTAGTTTAAATCTGTTTATGCACTTTTAATCTAAGAAGGACCTTATGAGAGAACTATTACGCCAAGGATTTGATTATATTGGTTTAGAGAACGTTTTTTTTTTAAATTTTTTTCCAGATACATACAACGAAGGGTGAGGTAACTAAATTGAGCTATAAGTTAGATATGTTAATAGGGTAAACCTTAGTTTTTTTATGGTTCGTAATTCAATTTTCCTTTGGATATGCTATTTGCATTTGTTTAGGCTCTTGTGAGTCTTTACAAACCTAAAATAAAATATGAATGCCTTGCACACTTGTATTTGAATGCTTTTACATCTTTCGATTTATGTAGCATTCTGCCGGTATAAATTGCTTGGCTGTGCCAAAGTCTTCTATTGATGGCTACAATTACCTTTTTACTGGGAGCCGTGATGGTACACTGAAAAGATGGTCACTAGATGAAGATGCAGCTTCCTGCTCTGCTACCTTTGAGTCTCACGTGGACTGGGTATTTCTATTTACCTTCTCCTTTCCCCATATAATTTATGCTCTTAATAGTAGTTATATTATAGATTCATTGTGCTTTCATGCCTCTTTTGGTTTCTAATAAGAAATATTTGAAATTTTCTTGAATAGGAGTAAGTATTATCCTATCGAGAAGGCAACTGTTAGTGATACTGTAAATAGTAACTCAAGCTAAAAAGTGAATAATGGAACAGCATACAAGGATGTATTACATGTAAAAGGTTAACTCATCAGCATCACTTTTCTACTTTTCAGGTTAATGATGCGGTCCTTGTAGGCAATAATAGGCTTATTTCTTGTTCTTCAGATGGCACTGTGAAGGTTATTTGTTTTTTATATTCTTTTTTTTCCCCATCAACTTCTCTTCATTTTCTTTTCCATCCAATTCTCTATATTGTTATATGGTTTGATTGACTTATTTTAATTATGTTGATCTACTCTTTTGACCTATGCTAGACATGGAACTGCTTAACTGATGGGGGTTGCACTAAGACTCTGCGTCAGCATTCTGACTATGTGACTTGTCTTGCTGCAGCAGAAAAAAATGTAATTTCTTTGCCAAACTTTGTGTAAACCTTGTGGTATGCCCTGATGAAAAGATTGCTGATTGTGAAAACCTGTAGTGAGTTTGTTGGATTTTGTTATGTTTTCTGGGACTAGTATTTTATTTTATGTGGGTTGTCTTCTGATCCTATCGTAGTATCATGCATAATAGAGCAATGTTGTTGCATCTGGAGGTCTTGGTGGGGAGGTTTTCATATGGGATCTGGAGGCTGCATATGCACCAAGTTCAAAGTCGAGCGATGCAACCGGCGATGAGTGTTCAAATGGTATCATTGCTTCAGGAAATTCACTTCCAGTTACAAGTTTACATGCTATCAACTCCAGTAACAACATTTCTACACACCCAAACCATTCTCATGGTTATGTTCCAATTGCTGCAAAAGGCCATAAGGAATCAGTTTATGCATTAGCAATGAATGATAGTGGGACGCTTCTTGTTTCTGGCGGAACTGAAAAGGTATATTCCGACTCCTACACACCCTTGTTTGATTGACATATTTAATTATCACAAGCTTAGGAGTCTATTTTCAGGTGGTTAAAATTAGTTGTTTCTTCTCTCACTTCCTCTAGGTTGTTAAATTAGTTGTTTCTTCTCACTTCCTCTAGGTTGTTCGTGTTTGGGACCCAAGAACTGGTTCAAAGACCATGAAGTTAAGAGGACATACAGATAATATTAGGGCTCTGCTTTTGGACTCGACTGGCAGGTTAGTTAGAGGGATTCTTTCTTTTCTGTTTGGACGTTTTTTTTTCAGGTGTTACACTAAAACCTAGTTATCATGACAATAAGTTTCTTGAAAGTGGTTTTTTGGGAGTTAATTTTAATTTTTTTTTAAAAAGACGATGGAAGTTTTTTTTTTTTTTGTTATAGTTTTTATAATTTTTTTTAATATATAAATCAGAGGTTCCTATTCAATAGTGATTTTAAGGACGCGTCCAAGGAGCGGTCCATTGGATAAGACCCATGTCTCGAGTAACAAGGTCACATTTTTGAAGCTTTGGTGAGCTTAATGTGAAAAACCCTTGAATGTTGATGTCTGCAAAGTCTGAGTAACACCTAGCAAAGGTCACGTGTCTGGAGCTTTGGTTGAGCTTAATGTGAAAAACCCTTGAATTTTGATGTCTGCAGAGTCTTGGCCTTAGGGTGGGCACATACTTTTTAAAATATAGTGATTATGAGTCTAAATATTTACTAGTCACTTGATGACTTCTGAAAATGAGTTATAGAGAGTCATTTGCTAAACAGCCTTACTCTTTCTCCTCTCAGGGCTATCTTTTGGAATGGGTCTCATTGATTTGTCTGTTTTATTTTTCTTTTTAGTAATTATAATAAGAT